GGGGCGGGCCAAGTGGCCGGAGCAGGGCCTGACCCCAGCCCGGCAAGCCCAGAGTCCGTCTGTGGCCTTGGGGAGCTGGCCAGCGTCTAAGATGGGATGGACCCCTGCCACAGGGCCGTGTCCATGAGGGGTCCAGGCACGCGCACGCCCCACGGTGCCCAGCACTGCCCTCGCCATCCTGGCTGGTCTCTGCTGTGGATCGCGGAGGCAGGGAGGCTGTGATCCACTGTGCAGGCTGGGGCTTAAGACGGCATGCTTCCTCCCAGTCTGGCAGTCTGGGGTCTGGAGGGTGTCCCTGCGCTGCGTTCCTGCCAGAGGATCTAGGGAGGGTGGGCTTGGCCTCTCCCGGACCTGGAGGCCACCCACATTCCTTGGCTCCGGGCCCCTTCACTCTCCAAGCCCAGCAATGGGGTCAAAGCACACAGCTGGCTCAGCTCCCAGGAGCCGGGGAGCAGGCCCCCCCTTGTTTGTTTGCTCTAGGGCTCTGCAGAGAGGTGGAGCGGGGACTCACCCCCGGGCATGGCCACACTGCGGCCCCTCCTCATGCTCTCTGGGACCGTAGCCACGCACACATATGTGCCCCATGTGATTTTCAAGCTGCTGGGTCCGGGACTTGAACCGAAGTCGGCAGTGGGGGATCCAGTACCCTAACTTCCACACCGCCTGCTGGCCTTCTCTTGCTCTTTCTCTAGTTCTGTTTCTTGTCAAAGGGTGCATGTACTTGCCAGAGGGCGGAGGGCGAGAAGGCACCCTTGGTGGGGCATGGCCAGGCTGCTACCCTCCTCCCCGTCTCTCCCACCTGCCGGGAGTTTTTCAAGTCACCAGGGCCGGGATTCGAACCGCAATTTGCCGTGTGGGATCCACCCAGGGCCTCCTCTTTCCCGGACCCGTGTGAGATCACTGGGCATGCTGGGGATCACGCAGGCTCCCCTGCCCACCTTTACTCCAGCCCCCTCTGCAAAAGGGGGCCATGTCCACAGGGTGCAGGCCGGGTCGGGGACGCACGCGCTGGCTCCTGGCACTTGGTCCCCAGGATACCCCGCCCTTCGGCCCCCACTCTGATGCCCTTTCCCTCGAGTGTCCCTCCATGCCTGCAGGGTTGAGCCGCCCGGGCTCCCTCCACTGCAGACTGACATTGGCCATCTCTGTCCGTCTCCTGAGAGGACAGGGACAGAGTTCCTGGTGGGCCTCTGAGCTGGTGGGAACTGGGGTGGCGGGTGAGAGACGAGGGAGGGGCTCCCCAGGAAGGGCTGGCGATGAGCTGGAGGTCACCCAGCGCGTGGCTTCTGTGTTGGGAGGGCTGTGGGCCCGTTTCCCCGGAGATGCCCCCACCCCGACCCTTGCCTGTCAAGGGCCCTTTGATTTGCAAGCCCAGGCCAGAGTGGCTGGGCCGTGGCCAGGTCAGGTTTTGGCCAAGGTCACGCTGTCAGGCCCGGCACCCCTTCGGTGAAGACACTGGGTCCCTGCCCATTCGCCGACCCTGGGACCGCCAAAGGTCAATGCCAGGTTGGGACAGCGCAGCGTCCCCTCAGAGCCCACTAGGCAGCAGTGTGGCCTGCGGAGCAGCTGAGCTTGCCGGAGGACGACTCCTGCGTGCCTGTCACTAGCAGCAGGCCCGCGGGGTCCACACGGGGTGGGGGGCACACGTCCGCGGGAGCACCCTCTCTGGAGACACCCTCTCTGGCCGCCAGAGCGGCCACTCTGGTGGCCGGTGTGGCACCTGCACCCAGGACGGGTGGCTGGACGGGCAGCTTCTGGCAGCACCGCAGGGCCAGGCTGTGGGCACCACACAGCCTGGGAGACGCCCTGCCCGGGTAGCTGTGGGTCGCAGGGACCGAGCACACAGTTGAGGGAAGGCCTGGATCCCAGACTCTCTACGGGCACTGCCCACACAGCTGCGGTGGCGCTTGGGCAAGACCCCCAGGGCCCGCAGGCAAAGGCCAGGCCTCTGGGGTGAGGACTTGCTGACCCCATAGTTGCGGGGACTAGTTGGGGCCTCTCTTGCTCCCGGGCCCTCCGCCCCGCGCTGCTCGCACCCAGGTGGACAGGTGGCACCCTGGAGTTGGTCCATGGCCTGCAAGTGAGCGCCTGCAAGGCCCAGGTGGTCCGTGCTGTCAGCCCCACACGGAAGACCCCAGTCCTCAGACACCTCCTGGATCCACCCAAGCTGCCCCCACCTGGACCTGGCGACCTGGCCCACGCCCCAAGGAAATCCCCTGGCTCCCACGTGGGACACACAGCCCTCCCCCTGCAGCCACCCGGCGCCCCTCCCCTTTGGTCCCCTGCCTCTGGTTCGCCATGCGTCCCGGGGCGCCGCGGCCGCTGTGGCCACTGCCCTGGGGGGCCCTCGCTTGGGCCGTAGGCTTCATGGGATCTTCAGGCTCGGGGGACCCCACAGCCGGTGAGTGGGGCATCCGAAAAGGGCGGGGTGTGCGGGGACGGGCCACCCACGTGGCCCTGCGGGAATGCGGGGAGACAGCGTGGGTGAGCCGTGGTTGGTGTCCAGCTGCGTTATGGGGGACTGAAGGGCCGGTGGAGGGTCACCAAGTCAGTGAGCAGAGGCTGAAAACCCAGGGACCATGGACGCTGGCTGAGCACCCTGCACCCCCTTCTCCGTCCTCAGCTATGACCACTCAGCCCTCTGGGTCCTCTTCCTGTCCCCATGTTCCAGACGGGGACACTGAGGCTTGGGGTCACACAGCCTGTGATGGCAGGCCAGCATTCGAACCAGAGCCATCTGGCCGGGGTGCCACCCAGACAGACCTGGCGCTGGGCCTGAGGCCTTCCCAGGCCTGGCCCCAACGTCTCGCTGCCCCTGGGGCCTTCTTCAACATGGGTGCAAGGGGCTGGGTCCCGGAGCTGGTCTCCGGAAGGTGACAGCCGTGTCCAGAAACCAGTGCGCCCTGGGACGGTGGCTGTGGCTTTTCCTGCCCCCATTTACGGGTGAAGAAACTGAGGTCTGCTCACTCCCACCCCCGCCAAGGGAAGGCTGCGCCCCGTCCTGTCCCGGGAGACAGCCGGTGAGCTCATGCTGGGAGAATGTTCCCAAGTCGGGAGTAAGAGGCGGGCCGGGAGGGGGGCCACCAGGCGAGGGGGCTCTGGGAGGGCCCGCGTGCCCTGGGGCACTGTCTAGACAGGGCAGAGGCGGAGAAGCACCCCAGGGCCCACTGCTCCCAGCAGGGACAGCGCCCGAGTCTGACCGGCTGGGCGGAGTGCCAAGCCCTGGGCCAGGCGGGGGCTTGCGGGAAAGTGGGGTGAGCCCCCAGAGGGCGGACGGAGCAGGGCTGAGAGGGGGCGGGTCCCTGGAGGTCAAGGCCAGAGCGGGCCCTTCCTGGCCAGTGCAGGGCCCCTCGTGGCTGCGGCGTGCCCACTCTGGCTGGGCACTGGGTGGCAGGGTGGCGCGGTGGCCGCCCCTGAGCGCACTGTCCCCCAGCCGCAGGTGGCGTCTGCTGGCTCCAGCAGGGCCGGGAGGCCACCTGCAGCCTGGTGCTCAGGACGGACGTGAGCTGGGCGGAGTGCTGCGCCTCGGGCAACGTGGACGCCGCCTGGTCCAACCTCACCCACCCCGGCAACAAGCTCGGCCTCCTGGGCCTCCTGGGCCTCGTGCACTGCCTCCCCTGCAAAGGTGGGGCCCGGGTGGGCAGGAGGGGCAGTGGGCGTGAGCTCCCCATACCTTTGCAGCCTGCGGTCCCAGCCCATGGCCCTCACTCGCTGGAGCCCTCTCCCTGCGGAGACGACCCCACTGCCCCTAAGCCCGGGCGGTGCCTTCTCCTGACTGTCCCGGCCCTGACCCCACTCTCGGGGCTCCGGAACACCTGCACCCGACCCTGAGCCGGACCGCAGCGGTGGGGCAGGACAGATGCGTGACCTGGCATGCGCCTCTGAGAAATGCTTCCCCCCCACCGTAATGAAGGACGGAGTGGGGACACCTGCTCCCTTTAGGACGGGCTGACGGGCCCTCCTAGCTCCCGTGGTCAGGGCTGAACCTGTAGGGCCCAGAGGGGATGTTGGGGCATGACCTAAGGAGGTGGGCATTAGAGCCAGGGTATTGCAGGATGATCAGGAGTTTGCCAGATGGCAAAGGTTTGAGAAAGAGGGTTAGCAGAGGTCACAGCTAGAGCTAGGTCCTGGTGGGTGGGGTCAGACAGGGGAACGGGAAGACTGGAGCTGACAGCTGCCTGCCCCTAGGACCGGAATAATCC